TGTCGTAAATACTCTTTAATGTTAAAGATCTGAAAAAGTAAGAGGTACATCTTTTAATATTTGATTCCAAGGATTTCTTTAATACATTCGCTATCATGTATCTTCAATTTTCGTAATTAATATAATTTTATCATATAATTTTTTTTATATAGTTAAAAATATATATTATTATTATATTTTATAATGTATTATAACATATAAAAATATTTATAAGATATATCATATTCCGGTAGCAAACATATATTACTCCAAAAAAAAAAATTAAATTATTTTTATTTAAAACTGTTATTTAAAACATAATTTTCTTATTATTAGCTATTTTTTAACTGCTAATAAAATTGTCGTATCGAAATATTAATTTTTCGGAAAAGAGGTTGCGCATGGTGATACTTGTGAATATTAAAAGATGGATAACAAAGAGAGAGGATTACACGATTCCTGAAATAATTACTACTTTATTATATACGAATACCATTCATACGTCGCAAGTGAAAAATATGTATTCGAAGATCGAGAAGGGAGCCCGCTTATTTTCTCGACACCATTTTATTATGTAATATAAACTTATGTGTTATACATCGCTACATATGCTTTGGCTTAATCGCTAGTCCTATCGGCTATCCTTACGGCTAGAATGCACAGTGACTTGTACAGAATCCTCATCATGGCACTCCACATACTCCTTCATTGATCTGTCATTGATTTGTCATTGTCACGTAACGCCGGTAACGCGTGAAAAAGGAAGGGATGAAAATGCATTTGTATATTGATTAAGTATTTTATGGAAAACAAAATTTGCATAGTAATCGCGTGATTGTCGTTCTTTTTTTTTAAAGAACAGACCGCGAATTGTACCGTGCACAAATTATAAAAAAAAATTGGAACAATCATAATTAGTACAATTAGAGATGAGATTAAAAGCGTAATATATGTATACGTATGTATTTGTGTTATTCGGATTATTGGAAAAGAGTAAAGTTCTGATCGAATATTGTTAAACCAGGATAAAGAAAAGATTTCGAATTATTATAAACTCTGGCGGAAGCGAATTTTCTGATACAGTTGCATCGAACCAAGCGCATCAAACTCAAAACACTTTTATCCATGAATTTATTTGCATCGTTATTTCAAGCATATCCACTCCTTTCCTCTTTCCATGTCACAGAAGCTCTCGTGTCACGAAAGCGTTCCCGTTTAGTTTACAAAACGTTTATCCTTAATGCATCTAACTGCGAGACGGCAACGGCTCGGTCCTCCTTCCTATACATACGCGCGCACGCGTGTGAGTGTGTGTGTGTGTGTGTGTGTGTGTGTGTGTGTGTGTGTGTTATATATATATATATATACCGAGAAATGAAAAGCGGCTCTCTTATCGCCGTGCGGTATTGTTCCATGACAGATTTTACAATATGTCGGCTAGATTTCCGGTCTCGGAGATTAGCCTGGCTTAATATTTTATCTCAACAGCGCGGCTCCCGCCGGCAACAACGGTTTTCGAGGATTTCTCTCAGGCGAAGATCAGCCGCTAATTATCGCGAACGATCGAGTTTTAACATAATACCAAAACGTCATGAGTAACGTTGTAATTAATATTATTCCTGTCGTGTGTTTCTTTTCACGCTTGAAAGATTATAGGCTAAATAGCGGTACATCTTGCATGTAAAACGCATGCCGGAAATTGTCGTAATTTTAACGAAGGACTTTTTGACAAATCCAATTCTTTCCTTCGAGAAAATTTTGACCACGGTACAGTCATCTCGTTTTTATATTCAGTTTTGTCCGGCAGCTATTATTTCCATCGTGCGAGAGCTTTCTAACTATCTTTTCCATTTATGAGATTACGTTTCGCATGAAAACCTTTAATAGCTTGGAAATTTAAAAAAGATCTTAGCACGAGCAGAAATTGTATTCGTATAAAAACGATATATCATCTTACTTTATATGAGTATTGTCCAAGATGTGCGGATTTCTCGTATCTTTAATATCGTTTAAAATACAGTAATAGAGTTTTGAGAGGTATGAGATAATTGTGGAAGCTATTACGTTACAGTACCACACGGCAATTTACATTTTGAAAATTTTTACGCGTAATCGAGCTTTCCTCATGGTTATCCGTTACTATCGCGAAGATTGGCCTTTCATATCAGTTTACAGTGGGATGAACAAATGTATTATATGCGGTAGTATGCGAGTTTGTACAGTATACTGTATTTTCGTACCATTCTTTTTCACGTGCAGTATGATTATTCCGTGTTTTGCGGGAGCCAAAACGCAGCAGGGAAATCATTACTATTACGTCACGCTTGACATTAATTTAAAAAATTTACATAATATTTAATTGTAGCAGCACACACACAGCAACAAATACAGCAGTTCAGTTTCCTGTTGAAATTAATACTTTTAATTCAAATAAAAAGTTGTGCAGAGTAATAAATATTTTAGCTATATAGGCTTTTATCCCTGTCGCTCATTTAGTACTAAATGCAATTGTGCAATTCACTTGCGTATAGATTGACTGTTCCTTGTTCGTTCACCTTCATATTAGACAAATTATGATTATTTAAATTTATTTAATTAATCGTATCAAATTTCACGATCGATCGCGTTTAATACTAAATGTTCGACGAGAATAGTGGTTATGGACGCTAGACATGAAGGACAAGCCGTGCGTCAACATACATCGCATACGGAATTCAGCGTTGCACCCTTAAATCCGTCCATCAGAGTGAGATTGCTTTTCGTTCATTCTTATAATTATAGATTTCGCGTTTTTTTTTTCACAACACGCCGGGCAACAACGCCGAGCTCCGCATCGCGCAATTAATATACGGTACTAATAATTAACGATTAGACGTTAGTTATTAATTATTATTGTTAAATTTATGCCTAAGATATAATACACTCACCTAAGACGTACCTGATGTGATATCTTTGTAAAAATTTCCCTACCACGCCACGAGAGAGAAAGAGAGAGAGAGAGAGAGAGAGAGAGAGAGAGAGAGAGAGAGAGAGAGAGACAGAGACAGAGACAGAGACAGACGAAAGAGTGAATGAGAGAGATGCAGCACTCTCGATGACGATGGAGAAAAACCAGAACCCGGTCTGCGGGTTTCTCTTTTATACGATATCCTTCGTCGATGCTATCGTCGAGCGAGGAGACGCTTTGCGAAAAACATCCCCACGCGAAAACATTGTCTGGGATTTTATGCGAGCGCGCATCTCGTGTTGAAAATCGCTCTGACGTTTATCCGATACATCCTATCGAGCATCGATCTTACTCTTCTTTCGCACGAAATATTTTAATTTTTTGATCATTGCACAACGGTTTGAAATTGTAAATATTTCGCGAATTTCTTGAAAAGGAACAATTCTGGCAGTGAAGTTGTGGCAAGAGACAAGCTAAGGATAATAGAGCTTCAAAATATAATGAACTAATAAACATAAATATTAAAGAAAAATGAATTTTGTAATCAAGGTTTTATTTAGGAATTAATTTTATTATTAGTCTTATTTAAGAAAATTTGATTGTAAACATTTTGTACGCGACTATTTTCGTTCCGCGATGGAAAATAACGATCTTGTAAAAACTTTATTTTAAGTAATGTAATACGTCTCGGAAACGCCGGCTTAATCTTGGCGGAGATTCCAGTGTTGCACGCGATAGTTAAATTTTACCGAGAAATTCCGCACCTGAACGTGCAAATCGCCGATCACCGCACTCGTGGTCCGTCATTTGTACCGACGATTAAACTGTCAGCTTAATTGAACCTAATGTTTTTCTCCCGGAAAGTCCGCGGGTCAATTTTCTAATTATGTCGAAGTTCATTTCCTTTTTCGATCGCGTGCAAAGGTATGTTATTATCTCATCTTGTTGATCGTTAAACCCGCTTTTGAATAAAGTCGGGAATTAACTTAATTTTCAATAAAGATATATCATATAAAAATATATATGTTAAATTAATATATAAATTAAGGGAATTTAAATCTCTTTGATACTTTTGAAGATGTATTTTTAAAAATATATTTAGTTAATTTTATCATTGTCATGAGATAGAATTCTATAATTCAACTTGCAAAACAGATATTTTAAGTAAATACATATTACTTCTTTATCATTTAGTTTTTTTTTGCTTTTTTGCTATAGCATTTTTTTGCTGTAACTTTGCTGTAACAAATTCGATAAACAATGCCGATTGTTCAATTATTTTGAAAACAAAAAAGATCGAAACGCCGTGCGCTCGGAGTGAAAATCGAGCCTCAAACGCATTTTAGTGATACACGCGGAAACGCGATACGACGCGAGTCAGCTATTCGAATTTCTCTTTGGCAATCTTTGTGTTTTCAATTCGCGGTCCGAGCGATACATACCTATGTGTATATGTATCGCACGACGAACGTGACATCAAATGACAATAAATGCAAGCGAGTAAAATAAAGCAGCCGTGTGTGATAATGCTTCTCCGCTTGTTTGCGAAAATATGTAATGGCTGCGAATACTAATTGTAATGAAATATATACGGCCACTCATTATATCAAACAGGATTTAATAGCAACGGGATTACGCGAAATTACGTCATGGTCATTACAGTCATCTGTGTAAATGCACACGGTATTATCGTCCGATGCCAATGTAATCGCTGCAACAGTTACTAATTCTTTTACCTTAAAATATCAGATATTGTTTATGAATTTTCGTGTAACGCATATTGTCAAATCACGCAGATGTTACGTTCTCTAAATGGGACATACGGTATGTCCCATAAATACACGTCTAATCATGTTGCGGTGACTACGGAGAGAGATATAAAAAAGATACTCTTCTCTAGCCTGTATCATTTTCCATTCATTGAATTATTTAATCATATTCGCGTCCCAGCGTGCGTTTCTCGCATAAGTCACTCCTCGCTCGTCTTGCCTGTCTTTGGCTTACACGACCTTTCGTCCGTGAGCGAGTCACTTTGGTACACGTGTTCGTGGAAGGGGACCGACGCGGACGATGACTACCAATGATAGTCGATGATCGGCTTACTCTCCGAGCACGGATTGACGCTACCACACCACTTGGTCTCCTTCAGCGGCGGACACGGTGCGCCACCCCGGCGCGGCTTTATCGTGATTTTCCGCGTCCTCTGGGTCTCGCCTACCCCGCAGCTGCGACTGCACGCGCTCCACGGGCCCCATTCGCCGACCTTGCAATCTCTCGGTGCACCTGAAATCATGAATGCAATTATTCCGCTCGAGCGGATGAGCGAGTTCATGTCTAATCTCGCAACGTGCAGGGAAATTCTCGAGGTAGATAACCGCGATCTTCGGAATAGGTGACCGCAATGAAAATCGAGGAAATTTTCTAGATTTAAATTTTGCTCAAATTGTTCCCTTACACAATTTAAAAAAAGATATAAATTTTTTCGGGGACTATGGAATTTAATTATTTAATATTAATTTGAGATAATCTATAATAGTTTACAATTAGTTAAAAATTTGAAAATTTGATTAAGATTATTTCGATTTTTTGAGGATTTAGCAACTGAATCGAAATATGATAAGTTTAAAGTCAAATAAATCACAAGAGTTATCGATATTTTTTAATTTACAATTTTGTTGAATTTAATTAACGAATTTGTAATCTGATAATTACCTATTATCAGCTCGAACAACGTATGTTGTGTGTATGTAAGAATTTCGCACACAAGAAAAATCTATATCGATGAAATACGGAAACCGGAACAGTAGGCAAATGCGAGACAGGAGGTACAGAGTGGAGGACACAACGCGAATGGATGAGACGGGAAAGGGTGCGAGCGGGAGAGGAAAAGCGCGGAAGTGTGCTTTGATCATTTACGCGGGAAATATGGCTATTGAGAGCGCTCGGCTTTTGCATTAGCTACCGTCAATAAAAAACTACACCGAGGGTTTGTCCGGACCTTCCGAGCACCGTGTCGTTTAAAGAGTTAATTAGAGGCTCGATTAGATAGCAAAAGCAAAGGTTCTACGAAGGTTTCGAAAAACATTTTGAATTATGTCCATAACCATTCGCCGGTTTAGTGAAGAGCAACAAGATAGCTATCGATAGCGTCAGCGATATAAAGTATCGCTTGCTACATTATATATTCATATATTATATCATCTCACACTATATTTTGCTACGCGAGCAGAAACCGGCTTTGCAAGATAATATTATTCTAAACTAATTAAATAGAATCGGATAATGTTATGCCCGAATCCGATAATGCTACCTCCAGAGGTCTGTTTTTTGTAGTTGAATCTATATAATAGTGTATCTATATACTAGTGTTTTAAAACTTAAAGTGAAATGATATATATGTTTGATATTTGGCTAAAGCGAGAAATAAAGTTTAGTGCAGGAATGAAAACAGATTTTAAATCCGATGATGAGGATCATTGTTTTCGTAACTTATTTAAGTGAGAATATATTATCCTCACTTAAGTAATATATTATTATTAAAAATATTATAAAACTTAGTTAAAAAAAAAAAATAACGAAACTTAAGATAAAATATCAAATATTTGAAAATTTGTGTTATACTTACGTGTTCTAATTCGTTTGCCTTTGGATGTCAATCCATGATGCTTCATCCTGAATCTGTGCTGACGCTGATCCACCGAGTTCCTGGTCACGTTGTTCACGAATGAATAGCCCGTACTCGACACGTTCGATACGTTGGCAATCTTCCTCTGGATGTCGTCGTAGATTTGCGCCTTCTGCGTCTCCGCTGTTTGCCTGTACGTCTGGTAATACGGCCAGTCGGACTTCCCTGTCTCGCTGTACCTCGTTTTACCGTCGACGACCTTCGATGTTCGCGGTATCGCGGTCGCGGTGTACCTCGGTCTCTGCAGAGCGTACGACGTGGCGATGCTGTTGATGATTGCCGCCTTGTTGTCTCGCGGAATGTCCGTCACGACTTGCTGGCCGCTGCCGGTCGTGCTCCAGTATCTATCAGAGAATTAAAAGATGAGATTGAGAGGAAAATCGAGGAACTGCAGATGTTTTCAGACAAAAGCAGAGAGTCTAAATTAGAATAGCAGAGAATATAAATTAGTTAATTAAAATAAAGGAAATTGAGAATTTAGTTAAAGGACCGTGGAATTCAGAGATTGAAATTCACGAAATTTTCGAAACTTCTGTAATTAACTGCGGTGCAATTAAAGGTATACTGCTGTATGCGATAATTTTACGCAGTGTGTACTCCATGATTATTAACATTAATATCATTGGTTATGTTAATGCCATTCGAATACAATTGTTCTTGTTTCGATGCGCGTGTTTTGATGGATCGAACGTATCGAATGCTTTAACACGAATCGATGGAATTTCCATTACTGTTCCGTTCATACACTTGCAATCAATACTCGATGAATATACATGCAGTCGGTCGATGTGGTGCAGCGGAACGCCACAGTGTAGACAGCGCCTAGACAGTAATAAGTTGGACGAGCGTGTTAGGTAGCAATTACTAAATGGAACTGGCCAGGTATTAGTGGCGCTCTGAACTTGTCGGACCCCATTTGCTGAACATGTATGCATTACTTGTATAAAGCCAGAGTAATGCCTGCGCGTCGCGAGATAAAGTTGTTAATTAATTATTCCCAGGACAATAAAATTCGCTAACTCGTAAATAACAAAAATGATCCTGCATGCTCATATAGTCGATTTGTCGACAAATTAATTCAACCAATACAATTGCAGCAACGTTACAACTTACGCTTCAGTTATAATGGCAAACGAACAGATAAATTCGCGTATAACGACCGTATGTTAATATGTGGTCCTTGCGAAGAACAATATTTATTCGAGAAAAAATATTCGTACGATTGAAATGTTGTAAAAGAACAATAGATATACATATACTATATTTTAGCCAGATTTAGTCATATTTTAAAATATAACAATAAATATTAAAATCTAGAGCGATGAACAGTAAGGAACATATGTGTGCATATCACTATATATTTTTTCTTTTTTTGTGATGTGTATATTAATTATTATAAAACAGATTCGATTTAATCTGTCCACGTCGATATCCAGGAAACTGTTAAAGTTATATAAAACATTTAAAAAATTTCTTCAACAGGATTATTTTGAAATGATTTTTAGTATGATGGATTGTATTCATCCTCTGTAAAATTTTAAAGAAGGAAGGATTACTAGAATTTTTCAAATGTAAATTTCTGACAAAAATAACGCTTGATACTCGAAAAAAACGAAAGAACTATTAAGGGTTTATTCGATGCTATGACCGCAACGAATTTTAAAAAATCGTCTAGGGAAAGTATTGAATGGAAACTCATCGAAAAATTTGACTATCCCTTTCTCTCTCAAAATTTCATAGGGAATGAGTACGGTTCCATCAAACTAAAAATAATCTCAAAGTAATTCCATTGAAGGAGCTTTTTCAATTTTTTGTCTAACTTTAATAATTTCCTTGAGATATCAGCATGGACAGATTGATCGAACAGGAATCGATACTCTCCCGAGACAATTTTCAAAAATTCATTGAGGTCCTAATATTGAAGACAGACTTTTAATATTATAGGTCATTAGACTCATTTCTTCGAGATCTATGAAGTGCTATTTTTATTAGAGATTTACATTTGAAAAATTCTACTATTCTTTTCCTCCCTAAAAATTTGTAGGGAATGAATATAAAAGTTCTATCACACAAAAAAATCGTCTTAAAATAATCCTATTAAAAGAGCTGTTTTAATTTTTCATCTAACTATAATAGTTTCCAAGATATCAACGTGGACAAATTAAATCGAACATTTTGTATACATATATTATTTAAATATGTACTGAAAAAAAATAATTTTAATAAGTTTTAATAAATATTTGTTTAAATAATTCTAAATAAATATTTACTTAGAAATATAAATATGTTTATTTCATACAAAAACTATTAATTTGATTTAACTATCATTTTTTTATTGAATAAGTATTTATTCACTGTAAATAAATGTTTGCTTAGTACTATTCAAAGAAATATGTATTAAGATTTAGTAAATTTTTTTTCTGTGTGGCAATTCGTTTTAACATCTAAAGATTCATTGTTGTTCGTTAGCGCATTTGGGATTTTGGGATAGTGTTTCGATTAGACAATATCTTACCTAAGATATTTTTTCGATTTTTGTAACACGAATTCGTTGGAGGAAAATCGGTCGTTCGTTATGAACCGTCTATACGAGTGGTCGTCGTAGTTCTCTCCGGTACGTGCACTCCAATGAATCGAATTTAGCGAGCTGACTGGAGGCGTGTGGGCGCGCGAAAACAATTTCGAGAATTGATTTACGGTTGGCATGTGGTACACATAAGAGAGACAGAATCAAGGGGTTGTTGGACAGCAGTTCCAAAACTTGCGTTTCACACGGGGAGAAATTTACCGTACTTCGTCTCTCTCCCTTTTCTTTCTCTCTTTTTTTCTCACGATTCTGTCAGCCGTAGAGAAATCGAAATTCTTCATGTATTCGCGCGCAACGAGATTTCATCGAAAAAAACATTTATTCTCATTCGATACAGGAATACGTCTCTCGGTGCAGACAGGACTGGCATTACTGGTCCGTGATGTTTGCGATTCAATTACTATAACAATTCGCAACGAAAATTTGTAATTTCGAATGCAATCGATTAGAAAATTCCGTTTAAGTATGGTAATTACGCGCGAATTCCGATTGTAATTTGTGACCCAATTAAACAATTACGCTTTGTAATATGTAGGCAATGCATATGCAATCGGTGCATATCAGTTCGTGGCAGAACTACGAAACTGGAATTGTCTAATTATCCTCAGTTATCCTCTAATTACAAATTTCATCGATCCACTTGAAGCGAACAGATAGATAAGATAAAATATTCCGTACGCTTTCATAAATCATTTATCAAGAATATTTTGTTAATGATTGCCCGAACGTAATCCTGTAAGTCGTGTGTAATACTGATAGTTTCATTGGTATTAAAAATACGCCGGCGCAGCATGTTTAGCATAATCGTATTTTCTGTGATAATTTGCATGTATGCAGACCTGGTATAAGTTTACTTTTTCCTACGCTTTAATATTCCTCTAGGAAGTTCCGAGCGGCTGGCCGCTAAGCTAAGAACCAAGCTTATAGGTCGCCATAACTTTTTAATTAAACTGACCTACCATTATTCTATGCTGTCAACCGAAAAACCTAAATGAACGCACGAACCTTATTTAATCTCTGCGAAACTTGCTGCCTGATTGCGAACGAAAAATCTATCGTTTTAGCACTGCGAATATTTCCGAGTTGCGTCTGATTAAACATTCGAATGTTAACAATTCAATCGTCGTGCCTGAAGTGTGGAACGACTCGTGGAATTTTACAATTGAAAGGAAATAGAACTATATTTGGATCTAATCGACATTTTCAGCTCGATCTTCGTTATACTCTACCGGGTTCGTGTAATGACATCGTCTACGTCGATTATGGTCACGTCGCGCGTCTACAGGAAGTTTGGCGAAGTAGGGTAAACAGTATATAGTTGTTGGCAATCATAGTTATGGGCGTAGGGAGAAGCACAGGAAATTGTCTTCGAGCGTTATTACCTTACTTCATAATAAGAGACATCTTTTGCGGAAAGCTGAGATATATATAACTTCTCTAATCAATTTTTTAAAAAGAAATTAGTAGAAATTGGCTAATATATTTCCGACCAAAAGTGCATTTAATTTCTTAAAATTAACGCCAACAATAAAAAAGAAACACATTCCTATGAATCTTTTCATTTTCGGAACGAATACCTGTATACTCGTATATCCTCTCGTTTGAGGGTTCTCTTTATTGCGCGCTGCTTGCTTTATATCGATTTCCATTCTTCGAGTGAGAAAAGAACATATTTGTTGCCATCGCGCTTCAGTAGACCCAAAATAACGGGCTTGAAGTGCTCCGTTATCGCGGGTGTTAAAACGTATTATGAATCGTTAGACTCCGTACGAAATCATAGTCATTTTATGATCTTGTGGTGGTGAAGAAAAATACACGTGCGTATTCTTAAGTTTTGTCAAGCAAAAGCTAAGCGGGCTGTTGATAATGACGATAATGTGTAACGCCATCATCGCGGTAATTTTCGCTCTTATGAGGATGTCGATCGCAACATTAACGACGCAGTGATTTATTTTAACGTCGTGCTTGTTGGAATTTACAAGTGATGGACTTAATACGCGGGAGAACGCGATACAATGGACGCCGGTGAATTAATTGCGCGCTAATGCGCTTGCATTTGACGGCAGGGGGACTTTGAGCGTTAATGCATGTATTTCGTTGTTGGTCCTAAATTTTAGTTCCATTGTACCTCATTACGTATTTGTTCGCGATATGCATAATATGCATTATTTTATAAACCGTTATTTTCACCGACATATTTTTTTAACCGGGCATGAAACGTAAATTGCGATATCGCGAATTTCGTAACAAGTTTTTTTCTGCGAATAATTTATTTTCAGTTCGTTTGGCTTATTTCGCTATAAATTAATTATTCGCGTTCTGCGCACGTTGTATAACTCGGAAAAATCCAAAGTGCAATCAAGACCAGAAAAAAGAGCAGCTCGGGTTTCCGGGAATATTCAAGAGATATATAATATTGCTCAATATGAGTGGAAAGTATGGTGGAGATTTTCCAACATTATGACAGTAATAGCATTTACATTTTGGATTATGCAGGCTGTTTCGTGAGAGTTCGTTCGCGCGGATTATCACAGAGCTCGTGCGAGATATGAAAAAATGTTGTAGAGAACACCATGTCACACACGCGCTTACATGCACACGTATATACATGTATATGTGCATGCGTGTCTAGCCGAAAATCGCACCTTCGAGAAAAAGAGACAGAGTTATTCATTGCGATATCGTCATAGACATTTCAACTGTACATTATTGGACATTGATAAATTAAGATACGCAGAGGCAGGCTATTCGGACGAA